TGTAGGGAAGAGTTCTGGAAGTGGAGCCCATATTATAGACAGGAACAAGGAAACAGACACAAGAAAGAGTCCTGGTGGGCCCCTTGGAATGGTAAGTGTTAGGTTTAGACTTTTAATTCAACCCCCTCCCTCCCTTTTAGGGAGATTTATGTCACTGGACCCCCATTATGCCAACTGCTGGTCCCCAGGTTTATGTTTTAAAAGATAGCAGTTGTGCTTAGGTTGGGAAAAAGTCATCACCTTTGTTACTGAAGTGAAGTTATACTGAAAATATTTTCAAACATACACATTGTTCATTTCCATATATTTTATCAGGAAGAACTCCGAATTACTTTGAAGTCTCCGGTGGCATAAAAATCTGAGTCACACTTGAAAGGCTCTTTAGAAAGAGTTACATAAATCTTCCCGTTGTCCACTGTCACCTTATGAATCCTTTGCTTTACTCCTTTGGAGCACCACTCGGGTTTTGCTGTTGGATCTCTAGGGTTGATAGACTGGTACAATCCTTCTCCTGTTGCCAGAGTAATTTTGTATTTATGCCAAGGGCAAACTATACACGGTCGTCCATCAAATTCCTGTGGAAGAAAACAATTGACTTATCATGAGCCAAAGGTTCATGATAAACCTTAGGCTCAGAAAAGCCTCTGCCGTAGAGGACCAGGTTAAACAATAGGCTAGCTTCTCTTTCTTTCCTCCCACTTACAAATCATTCATAATCAGGCACAACCAGTCTGAGAAGAGTCATTGAGTCCTCCTGGAGTGATCAGAATCCCCGTGAGTTAGAGTTCTATTAAAAGATGACTTGTGGGCCGGATTGCATGTGGCTGATGTGGCTGACCACTGTTTGAGTCCCCAACCTTGTAGCCTGAGAAGCACACTAGGCCTGGGTGTGTACATGCCTGAAATCCCCAAAGGAGGGAAAGATGGAGAAAGGATTATGGCATGGTCATTCTCCATGGGTCAGGGGATGGGGTGCTTTCTCCTCTCCCTCTCTGTCTCTGGTGAGAACATGCATCCTCTAGAGAAATAAAAAGGCCGTGCTCAGGCAACTGCACCACGTGACTGTAGCCTGTGCTGTTATCTATTAGCGGTTAATATCCTTGACAGAAATGGGCCAAGGACTTCAAATGCATCTATGTGAATTTTCACTAGCTGCAGGAAGAACTGTAAGCTTCAGATGGAAAATAAATTCAAGAGGAGTTACTAAAGAATGAGAACATACATTAATTGAAGAGAAGTCTGTGATCCAAAGCACTTCATTCCCCACTTTTTAACTTTCTTAATGAAGTGCTTCTTAAACATTAAAGAGCACGGGACTTCACTGGTTTAATGCATATCTACCTGTCTAAACTCAGTAGGCCTATGGGGAGGCGTCCCGCATGTCTAAGATGCTCCTAGGTGACACCGAATTGCTTGTCTTTTGCTAGTCTCTGGGCAACACTTTCAGTACCAAGGTCTTCAGTCTACAATGACTGAAATTGGGGGAAATTATGATATTATCAGCAGCAGGTGCAAACTTTTGTTCTTTACACCAGAAGTGCAGAAATACTGGTTTTTATTCCTAGAGAACTGTCAGCAAGCATTCACAGTTTAATCATTTCAACACCACACACGTTCTTTAACAGGAGGAGAGAAATGAAACCAGGAAGATATCAAGTAGAGAAAGAGTAGAACACTAAGGTCAAGCTTATCCTTGTGCCAGAGAGAGAGCAAAAGAGAGAGAGTTCAGTTTTATGAAGAAAAATACATAAATTAGGCAAGTAGTTTTTGAATGCACAGAAGCAAAGATAGTTTCCCCATTCCTTTGTACTCAAGATGTTGAGATAAGGGTTCTTTAAAAATATACTTTTACATTATAAAAGCATTTGTACTCATTCTACAAATTCAAATTATACAGTGTGTAAAGTAAAAAGTAAACATTTCTAATTTAAAAAAGGAATCTCTTCAGATCTATTATTCTATAACTCACTTTCTTCACTCATAAATATATTGTTGACATCCTTCCAAACGACACATACAGGCCTGCTTCATTAATTTAATGGTTACATACTATTTTATAGCCTAGATGTATCACAATTTATTTAACCAATTTCCTATTATTAAGAAATGTATGTTGCTTTCGATTTTTATTATAATAAGGAAAAGTACAATAACTTCTTTCTCTCTCTCTTTCTCTCTTTATATATAAATATATATAAACACGTGGGCAATTATATGCTTAAAATAATATTCAGAATATAATTGCTAAGTTAGAAGACATATGTATTTCTCACATTTATCTGTGAGAAATTATATTATAGAGTTGTGAATACCCAGACTATTGGCAATTACATTCAAAGCATAAGAATATACTTCAGGGAACCAGCAGTTAGCGTAATGGCTATGTCGCTGGACTCCCACGTAATCGACCGCGGTTCGCGTCCCAGACCCGGTGGCTTAAAACTCACGCTGGAAGCGTGTGCATGCGTGCCCATCCCCTCTGGGGGGTGATTTCTCGCTTTCTGTCTCTCTGTCTCTCTCTGTCTGTCTGGCGAGCGCACGCGCCCTATAGCAAAAAAAA